TAAATAGGCAACCAAAAGTTGTACGTGTGACTAGTTGTACTCTCGTTATACTGATGTAATATGTAAGCCAGTCTTTGAACAATGGCCCACCCGTTTGAACTAATAAAGTGCTAGGGGCCTAAGTGGTCACCTCAATATTAAAAAAAAAAAAAAAAATTGATTTTTCGAAAATTGTTTGTCTTGTCAATTTGGTCCTTTTTCTCAGCATCTAGCCTATATAATTATGTATAATATATTATTAATAGAGATAATATTGATATAGAGAGGATCCTATCAACTCACTAACAATTACTTTATAGATACCATATTTTACTGATAATTACTTACCAACAAGTTCATTTTATCAACAGTTTATTTCACTGAAACTTATTTTACAGACAAAGTAATTCTGGTCAATATAATTAGAGTTAGGTCAGAACTAAAGTTAAAGTTAGTGCAATTTATAAAAAAAACTTGTTGGTGAAATAGACTATTGGTAAAATAAACTTGTTAATAAATAATTGTCTGTGAAATGTGGTGTCTATAAAGTGATTATTGGTGAAACAATACAGACCCAATATGGAGGATAATTTTTTAAACACCTTTCCTTAATACAGATAAGTTGTGTTTATTACTTTTTATTATAATATTAATAGCTTCATTAATGGCACATTTTGCTAGTCTTAGCCATATACTGTACTGTATATTACTATAGTAGGTAGTTTCTGTAACAAATTTAAATTAAAAACTGTATTAACTTAAGAAATATTTATTAACAAACAGATAAGTGTAAAAAATATTTATTAATGGATTGAATTAAAAATAGCAAACCAAAATTACAAAGCAAGAATATAAGTACTTACTTACTATTATACTCAAATCATTATTCACACTAATTTAGTCAGTAAAGATAAAGAACATTTGTTACTGGCTAAATTAAGAACAGCAAAATAAGATCATAAAGCAAAAGCACAAATACTTATTATTGTACCCGAATCATTTTATTCGAATTAATCTAGTAGTAAGTATAAAGATATTTATTAATAGATTGAATTAAGAAACAAAGTTTACAAACCAAATTAAATATTTACTATTATGTCCAAATTATTTTATTCGCACTAATTTTGTTGGTAGAATAAAGAACATCTGTTACTGGCTAAATTAAGAACAGCAAAATAAGATTATAAAGCAAGAGCACAAATATTTACCATTACGCTAAATCATTTCATTGCATTAATCTAGTAGTAACATTTATTAATGAATTAATTTAAAAACAACAAAACAAGATTGCAAAAAAGAACATAAATACTTTGGGATCCAATCAACTCACTAGCAACTACTTCGTAGACACTACATTTTACTGACAACTACTTACAGACAAGTTCATTTTGCTGACAGTTTATTTCACTGAATCTCATTTTACAGACAAAGTAATTCTTGCCAATGCCATTAGGGTTAGATTAGAATTAGAGCTAAAGTTAATGTAATTTATAAAAAAAAACTTGTTATAATAAGCTTTGGTGAAATAAACTGTCACAGGTCGAAAGATAAAAAATCAGATACAAATCAGATACCCGATTTTAAACTGATTACTACCTGATTACCACCTGATTTATGCATATTTTTGTACCAAATTTTTGGTACAAAAATATGCATAAATTAGATGGTAATCAGATAGTAATCAGTTTAAAATTGGGTATCTGATTTGTGTCTGATTTTTTATCTTTCGACCTGTATGTCGGTAAAATGAACTTGTTAATAAATAATTTTTAGTGAAATGTGGTGTCTACGAAGTGATTGTTGGTGAAACAATATGAACCCAGATACTTTAGTACTTACTATTACATTCAAATTATTTTATTTACACTAATTTAGGTAAAGATAAAGAACATTCATTGATGAAATTAAAAACAGCAAAAAAAAAAGATCACAAAGCAAGAGCTTAAATACTTAATATTTCATTTAAATTATATCATTTCATTTGCATTAATCTAGTGGTAAATATAAAGAACACTTATTAGTGGATTGATTAAAAGTAACAAAATAAGATTGTAATACAAGAACGTAGATACTTCAGTATTTACTATTACGTTCAAATCATTTTATTCACACTAATCTAGTTGACAAGAATAAAAGAACACTTATTAATAGATTAAATTAAACAGCAAAACAAGAATGTATATACTTCAGTACTTACTGTTATATCCAAATCGTTATTCGCATTAATTTAGTTGGTAAGAATAAAGAACATTTGAATTAAAAACAGCAAAACAAGGTTATAAAACAAGAACATAAATATTTACTCATTATTGTGGTAAGCATAAAAAATATTCATTGATGAAGCAAGAATATAAATACTTACTATATTCTATTGTGAATACGCCTTACTTTACCATAACCATTTCACTGACAGCTCACTTAGCCAACATCACTCCAAGTAACAATTTACTAAAAATATATACCTACAACTAATAAAATGCCAACTATAACTCTATATGATGTCGGCTAAATAGCTTTTGATAAATGATTGTCGATAAAGTGAACAGTACCGACCACCACTTATAGTAATCCCAAAAATAATATCCATGATTAAAACTGGGTATTACTCACCAAATAAGACCCAGGCATAATGATTTACTACTTTTAATATAATATATTTCTAGATATAGTATTCGGCTCTTCACAGCACCCATAGGTACTATTTAATTTTAAAAATAAATTCTTGAACAAGAACAAGACCCCTGATACTATGTATAAGCAGTAGAATATGGTACCATTATGTCCAAATCATGATATTTGCATTAATCTAGTAGTAAGTATAAAGAATATTATTAATAGGTTGATTTTAAAATTGGCAAAACAAGATCATATAAAAAAATAAATACTTGCAATTATATTTAAACTGATGAAAATAATAAATAGTGATGAGAATCGTGATGAATTATCAAATAGGGTAAAGGCTAATATTAAAGTTTTTTAGAATAGATATTAGTGGTATTATCAAAGTTATTCTGTATATATTCTAAAATTTAAAAAAATTAAAAACTTTTGATTTTTTATTCATATAATATAAAATATAAAATCATATTAATAAAAATACTTGAAAATTATGAATATATGTATATTGTTGTGTAGTTTAATATGCAGTAATTTATTTATTTATAAAAAAATAAAGTTTTATAAAAATATTTGATATAGTCATATTATTTTATTTTTAATTATTAATATGACTATATAAAGTTTATTATTTATAGTTACACCTTGTTATAGTCACCTAATTTCTGTATCCCAAACAGGTAACTATATCAAGGTGCAACTGTATATGCCACCAAAATTAATTTTTAAAAAAAGCCTATTTTAGATTTTCAAAAATAAATTAAAATTTTTTATAAGGAAGTGCAAATAAAATTTATATATAGGTTTGGAAATTCCATGCACGCACATGGTTATGCACTCTGTGATTAGCCAATCAAATTTGATCATGTGCACTTATTTTTTTTAATAAAAAATATTGCAAATATCACATAATAAATAACAAATTAAAAAAAATAGAAAAAAAAATGTAATAAAAGCAAATTTATATACAAAAAAAAATGTAATAGAAGCATAATAACAAATGACGAAATCATATCACTGAATTTATTTATAAAAAAAAAATACAATATAATGAAATCGACGAAATCATATTGCTATAAATTTTAAAAAATACATAGCACCACCAAAAAAATTCCCAACAAAACAAAAAACAAACAACAAAACATCAATGGCATGAGGTTACACCGAAAATGACAATTTCAATAACTCCAGTAACGATGGCTCCAATGGCAAAATCACACCTGAAAGAAGAAAAACATTAGTAATATATAAGAAAAAAACCTCTAAATTAATGGTCCCAAAATAAAAACATAACTGAAAATAGTGACTCTAATGGCTTTAGTAATGCTAGTTCAAATAATGAAATTGCATCTAAAAGAAAAGAAGTATTAGTATCTAAATATATAAAAAAAAACAACAAAAAAACAGGCAATGGTTCCAAACTGAAAAACTTACCTAAAAACAGATTCTAAAATAACGGTTCTAATGATGAAATCATACTTGAAAGAAGAGAAATATATAAAAAAAAAAAATCTCCAAACAAATAACTTACCCAGCTCCAATAACTCCAGTAACAATAGCTCTAACAGTGATATTACACCTGGAAGAAAAAGAAGTATCAGTAAATATATAAGAAAAAAAAAAAACTAACCCAAAACGAAAACTTACTTTAAAACAGTGACTCCAGTAGCAACAGCTCCAACAGCAAAATTAGAAGAAAGAAAAAAATTAGAGAAAAAAAAAGAAAAAGCAAAAAAATTACTTGATCCAATAAAAACACTTAACATGAACCAGAGAACTTATCAAGATAACACTATAAAAACATCGAGAAGTTGCAGAAATAAACTATACAACAAGACAACTTTAAAAAAAATATGCAAGACCACCTGTTGGTGAAACTTACAAAACCACCTACTAAGAACACCCTCTATATCACCAGAGAAACATTTTAGAAGAATGCTAAAGACCATTTCACAGAAAACACAAAAATCTAACAACGACACTTACAATGACACCTGAGATGACACCAACAATGACACCGGTGACAGCACCAATGACAGCAACTGGAAAACAACAAACTAAAAAAAAAAAAACCATAAAAACGACAAACCAAAAAAAAAAATCAAAACATGATTATCTTGATGATCAATCATATTTATATACAGGGTAATATAAGAGTACACAACTATGTGGGTGCGTGGAAAACATTTTCTCTTTATATATTTATATTTCTTATATTTTGGTTTATTCAAAAAAGTATCAAAAAATTTCAGATTTTAAGTAAAATAGGTCAAAAACAATTTTAGGAAAAATTTTTAATTTTAGGTTCTAAAACCCGAAATAATTTCAGTGGCATGTATAGTCAAAAATTATTTCGGCTTCAAATTTTAATTTCAGGTTTTTGAACCCAAAATAATTTCATTAGCATGTATAGGTAAGAGATACTATATAAGGTCTAGGGTCTAAAGGTTCTATTTTTAGTATGATTTCAGTAGTATAAATTTCATAGACTTGTTTGTTTTTATTATTTTCTGAATCTTCAAGTATTTTTTGATCTTGTTTAGGATAATTTAAAAATTTCAGGTCTCTTCAACAGGGTCTTGCAAGAAAAGAAATTCATTATAGAGGTTCTTCATTTAATGATGAAATTGTTCAAACTTATTAACCTTGGCTTGTAACATAATAATAGTTTAAACTTGTTGTTTATAAGCTTGAACTTGTCTTTGTAAATAACTAATTATTTGAGCTTGTTGTCGAATTTGTTCTTGTAATAAATTGATTATTTCTTGTTGGTTAAATTGTATAAAAGATGGTAGAGGAAGTTTAGGTTCTGGTTCTAGTAGTTAAGAGTGAGCTTTGTTATAACATTCTTGACAGCAGACTTCAAATTGCTCAAGTTCGGTTTTGGGTTTAGCTATAAGATAGTTCTTACAGAGTCTTACAGTTTCTTGAAAATTTCTTTGCAAGTTTTCTATAGCTTTTTATTGATCAAAATCTGGGTAGCTAATATCAAAGGATTTAGCTAAGATTTTTTGTAATTCTGTTTTTTCAATTTCAGATAATTGAACTTAAGAGACTCTCATTATGAGATTAATATTTTTATAAATATAATCTTGGTTGAAGCAATTATTAGCAAAAGGTTCAAAAGCATGGGAGCATGGTGAACATTTGTTTTAATTGGTTAAAAAATATAAACAAAAAAGTAAACAAATAAACAATATGCATAATGTAAATCATTGTATAAATTTAGATTATAAAGTGAAATTTGACATTAGCTTAAAGCAAAGTTTTTTTTTACTAAGTTAACCTTTCTTCAAGTTTTAAGAAAAGTTGTAAAGCTTATTTTTGTAGTTCTAATAGTGGCAATATTATCAAAATTGGCTTAGTGGTTCTTAAGATATTATAACTTTTCTTTCTTTTTACATATAAAACTTTTTTAAAGAAGTTTTATATATGTAAAGAAAGAAAAATTACAATATTTCAAGAACTACTAAGCCAATTTAGATGATTTTACCACTATTAGAACTACAAAAATAAGCTCTACAACTTTGTTAAGCTTAAAAAAAGATTAATTTAGTAAAAAAAAAAACTTTGTTTTAAGCTAATATCAGATTCTACTCTATTTTATTATAAAACTTATATAAAAACTTGCTTTAATTTTATAGACCTGTTGCAATGGTTCTTTATTAATCTGCAAGTTTGGTAGCAAAAGGTTTTTTCTTTATTAAATAAGGCACCAGTTAAACAAATAAAAAACAAATAAAAACACAATCAACTAAACAAAAATTCAAATTCCAACTAGAAACTATTTAATAAAAAGAAAATGATAAAGAAAAGTAACAAAAGGTTGTCTAGAAATAAAAATAATAAAATATAGAAATATTGGAGTAGTGTTTTAACAAGAAAGATGAATATTTAAGAGGAGCTTTGTGGGTATTATTAAAAAAATATTTTTAAAGAAGAATATATTTATAAAGGTTGTATTGTAGTAGGAATTACAAGAGTATTTTTATTATGAGTTTTTTTTTTTGTTTTTCAATTCTTGTTCTTCTCAAGAAGTAAGAGAGAGGTTATATTTATATCTTTTTTAGAGCTCAAATCTTCAAAACCAATAGTGGTGTTTGTGGTATTTAGAAGAACCAATAATATTTTGTTTGCATAGTGCTCATAGTGTTTTAGATAGTGTTTGAGGTGTTTTATATATTACGCGACTCTTTGTTTTGTTTTTAAATTGTTCATAATATTTTCAAATTATTCTGCAACTTTTTATAACTTTCTTTTACTCTCCAAATCTTTCTATAATATTCCGTGACTTTCTTTTTCTATATAAACAAATAAGAAAAACAACAAATAAACGTATAATTAGCTAACAAATAAACATATCAACAAAACAAAATAAACAAAACTAAACAAAACTAAATAAACTAAAAATACTAAAACTATCT